TGCCGCCCTGCCGCCCGGCACCCTGCCCGCCCTCACGGCTCTGCCTCAGAGCAGGAGCCCCCACGGTCCCGGAGGGCCAGCGAGAGTGGACAGCCCACCGGGTCGGCCTGCGTCCGAGCTGTGAGGGACCGGACCCCAGAAGGCCCACCGGCTCGGCCCGTCCACTGGGCGGGAGGCCGGGCTCCCGGGCCCAGGGGGAGTCTGGGAAGGCTTCCCGGAGGAGGTGGCGTCTGAGCAGAGCCAGAAAGGCGGGCCAGGAATTCTCCTTCCCGCCGGCCACACCCGCCTTATCTCGCCTCAGGGAAGCAGCTCCCAGGGGCCTCCCCAGGAAGGCGGCTCCCCTCCCCCTCCCTTGGGCACAGGCTACATCACCCGCCTGGAATGCACTCAGTCCCCCTCCCCCTGCCCCCTCTCCCCACCTCGCCCCTCCCTCGCTCCCCTCTCCTCCCCCTTCCGTCTCCATCCTGGTCTCCCTCCCCTCACCCATCAGCCCATCACTGCGGACCTGCCCTGGGGATTTCCAGGATCCGACACCCATGGGCGGGGTGAGAGGGGCGGCACCCTGTGCCAGAGGGTGGGGCTTCCTCAGGAACCTCCCCCAAAGCCTCCCTCCAGAGAGGACAGGAGCTCCCACCTCCTCTGGGCCCGGCCGGAGCCCCTCCCCCTGCACCTCAAGGCCTTTCTCTGCCAGGCTCCCCCTGGAGGGGGCATGTCCCCTGGCACCCGTGTCTGGAGCAGCACCTGCCACCCTGTGCCCGCTCCGGCTCAGCTGTCCCCGCTCCCACGGCCTCCCTGGCCTTGGCTGTGGCCCGGCCGGGGGACGGGGTGTGGCCACAGGTGCTGAGAGGACAGAGTCCACAGAGGCCACCTCCTCCCCGGCCGCCCGCCCTTCCCGCCAGCTCCAGGCACAGTCTCTCCCCAGGTGGCTCCCTGCCTCAGCCACCTGCCCCCCCTCCAAGTCTGTCCCCAGCCACTGGGTGGTCAGAGCCCCCAGTGCTGCACTTCCATGGCCCCCCGCCCTCCCATGGGCTCAGGCACCTGCTGCAGCACACACCCAGAGGCCAGCATCTCTGTGACTGCAACACGGGCCAAGGCTCCAGCCCGGACAGCTCCTGCAGGCCCCCAGGTGGGTGGGACCAGGCGGGTGCAGCCATGGTGAGGGCCCCAGAGCTTTGGCCAGCCCTCCCGTCAGGGCTGTGTATTCTGGAGCCTTCTGCAGGCTGGACCCGGAAGGGCTGGGCCGGTGGGTGTGCAGGGGGCCCTTCCCAGGGTCACCCCACCCTCAGGCAAGGCCCGGGGTCCCCCTGCTGGGCCCCCACATGCATACGCAGTGCTTCTGTTTTGCAATCTATTTTTATTGACTTCGGAGAGGAAGGCAGAGGTTAGGTCTGGGGTCGGTGCTCCAGGCGAGAAGCAGGGGATCAGGGAAGGCCCCGAGGCCGACTGGGCCGTCTGCGGGTTCCCAGGGCCCAAGGGAGCTGGACTGTGGGGAGGGGGGCGATGGGGGAGACGGGGCCTGCAGCCTGGGGTGGGGGAGGGGGGTGATGGGGGAGACGGCGGAGGCTGGTGACTGGCTCAGGGCTTGCAGCCCGAGCGGGGGAGGGGGGTGGGGGGGAGCCGGAGGTGAGCGAAGGAAGCCAGAGGCAGCGTCAGAGACGGAACACGCGGGGGCGGCCGGCTCAGGAGCCGGGACGCGGGTCTGGGCACAGTGCCTGCAGCTGGAGAGGAAGGGACCTTGGCACAGCCCTCCTCCGGCGCAGGGGGTGCTGGTCTGCCCTGTCCCCCCGCCCCTCCTCCCATGCGGCCCCAGACCTCCCATCCCAACCACAGCATCCGAACCCGGTACGGGGGTGTGGCACGGCCTGCGCAGAGCACCTGGGCCCACTGTGGGCGCCCGCAGACAGCGGGTGGACGTGCAGGAGTCCCACGGGACCACCACGTTTGTGGGCTGCCAGTCACGACGCAGCATGCGTGCTCCCACCGGCTCCACGTGTGGCCACGCGTGCACGTCCGCTGGGGTCCGACCGCCATCCACACAGACACGTCTGCTGATGCAGGGACGTGGGGGGTTCGTGGGCCTGGGGGGGGCTCCAGCCTCGGGTCCAGCATCCTCATGCCATAGACACCGCGCCCGGCCAGGTGCCCGCGCCGCCCCGAGCAGCGCCATCGCGTGATCTGGGCTGTGCCTGGGAGGGTTCGGGGGGTCAGTCAGTCCTGCCTTCCCAGCATCTGTGTCTCCGTGTGTCCCGGGGGCCGGGGCAGCTGGGTCCCTGTGCTGGGGACTCCGGCGGTCAGGGGCATAGGTCACAGGACAGTGACAGACACAGCAAAGCCCTCGAAGCTCTGGGGCCCGGCCGGCCAGGGCGGCTCCGGTCAGGTCAGGGCAGGGGATGCTGTGCCGTGTCCTGGTCCTGTGGGGCGGAGAGGGGTGCAGGGCCCCGCAGCCAGAGCGGCTGCACACAGGCTCCACACGGCGTGTATGGGGCCTCACGCCTGATTAGTCGGCACTGTCCACACGGCAGCTCTCGACCGGCACTGGCCACCACACGGACCCGTCGCCGGCGCGGCCAGGCCAGGCGTGAGGGTTGGCTTCCCGCTTCCCAGGGAGGGGCCGAGGCCGAGGACCGGCACCACGGACGGCAGAGCTCGCGGGACGCGGGCGGGACAGGCGTCACACCTGCGGCCAGGCCCTGGCGCTGACCCGGTGCCGGCGGGGCCCGGGGCCAGGCCGGCCCATCGTCCAGGGAGTCCCGGGAACACACCGGCCGGGGGCCTCCACAGCGCAGGAAAGGAGCCGACTGAGGGGGCAGGGAGGTCTCCCGGGGCACGACCCAGCCTCACCCGGCTCTTCCTCGAGGGGGGAGTCCCCCGTGGACGTGGGGTGGGCGGGCCGGCCTCGGTGAGAGCCCAGGGAAGGAGCCGAGGGTCCTGAGAGCTCCCAGACGCCCCCCGGCCCCGGGCTGCCCCGCGCAGGGGCGGCTGGGGCAGAGGCGTGAGTCAGCACCTCCTCCTCTGCTCCGTCCGGGAGGCGCGAGGTCCGAGAGGGGAGAGAGGTCAGCGCGGCAGGGACAGCCACCAGCTTCCTGGAAGGGGGTGGGACGGCTCACGCTGCTGAGGCCACGGCCGACTCGGGCCGGTCTGGCTGAGTCTCGGGGAGCAGCGCCCCGAGGCCTGCAGCAGCCGGCGGGCGGGGGGCTCTGGAAGGCAGGACGGGGACCCCAGGTCAGGCCAGGCACCGCCAGGGTCTCGCAGGCAAGGAGTCCCCCTCGCGGTCCCGCCGTGGGGCCTGCCCGTTTCCCAGCCGGGCAGCGGGCAGCGGGAGCCGGGAGGGAAATGCCCAACCTCAGATGAGTCACCGCGCCCTCTGATTCAGCCTCCAGCGGGGAGGGAGGGAGCCTGTCCCGGGCCAGGGCGTCCCTGCAGGCCCTGCCACCCGCCCGTGGGCACCACTGAGCAGCCGGACCCTGAGCTCCTCTCGGCCAGCACCCGTCCACGGTCCCCACCCCACCCCATTCCCCCACAGGCAGCCGGGCCAGGGCACCCACTCGGGGCTGCATCTGCCGCCCGCCTCCCGGTGGGCTGTCTTGTCCCGGTGAGTTCTGGGTCTGGGCACTGCGGACAGGAGTCTGCCTGGGACTGGGCGCCCCACATCCCCGCCCCCTCGTCCTCGGTCTCCTACCCCGGCCCCGGGGGGCAGATGTGTCTCACTCCCGCAGTTCCTGTCTTCCCGATTCCCTCTCGCGGACGGCGCTGTGAGAGTCCGCGAGGAGCAGTGTCACCCACGAGCTGTTTAAGTTCGTTTTCTTTTTTGTGTGTCCTTCTGCCCGGAGCAGGCACTTTGACTTTCCTAAACGCCAGGGCGTTGTTCCCTCTCATAGATGGGGACATCTTTTTTAGCACTTTCACTTCTTATTTTATTTTAAACACATTGACTTTAGAGAGGAAGAGAGAGGGAGAGATAGAAACATCAATGAGAATCATTGACTGGCTGCCTCCTGCACGCCCCCCACTGGGGAATGAGCCCACAACCCAGGCATGTGCCCTTGGTGGGAATCGAACCTGGGACCCTTCAGTACGCAGGCTGATGCTCTATCCACTGAGCCAAAGCAGCCAGGGCAAAGTTGATTTTCATACCATGTGTGAGCCTTTGGTCAAAGTTCGTGGGGGTTTTTTGGCCCGTGGAAGCCAGAGCCCAAATTTCCCAAAATTTCCCTCCCTCACCCCCCAGTTTATTCCTGTTTTAAAATGTGTTCAAATATTTGACTCCACGCCTGGCCTGGCAGGTCCTGGGCCCTCAGGTGGGTGAGCAGCCCGCACCTGCCTCCAGGCTCCAGAAGGCGCTGCCAGCCACACCCCAAGCCCCCAGAAGCTGCCGGGGGAGGGGAGTGTCCACATCAGGCCCCCAGAGCCGCCGAGAGAACAGGGACGCCCAGGGACCGAGGCCAGGACCCAGGGTGGACAGCACCCGTCAACGCAGACCCTCCCCCGAGCCCGGCCCCCCGTGCCCCGCACGGCCCCGGGCCCACCGCGCGGAACAATCGCCCGGCTGTGTCTCGGGCACACAGCGCGCTTTCACGGCCACAGACAGGGTCTGTGCCCGCCTGGTGCCAGAGGGAACAGGCCAGTGCCCAGCTGGGAGGGTGCTGCTGCAGCCGGACAGCACCGGGGACTTCCTGCAGCTGCCAGCAGGCGGGGCCGAGGGGGCGCTGCCAGCCCAGCCCAGGCCCCGGCCCAGCGAGGAGGCAGCCCGGCTCGGGGGCCGTCCCATTCGAGGCGGCCGAGCTCCGGCTCCTCCCCGCTGGGCCTCCGCACGGCTTCCCGTGGGACAGGGCCTCGGCCCGGGATGACGGAAAGTTCCGGAGAGACTGTGGGGACGGCCGCACAGCGGGGTCCACGTCCCTCACGGCCACAAGCCGCTGACACGCAGGCGGGTGGTGAGCTTTACGTGACACCACACACGCGAAGAGCCGCTTCTGGGAGTGACTGAGACACCGGCGGGAGGGGCTTCATCACTCGTTTAATGGCACATGCAGCACAGAACACAGGTACACACGCGGGGACACGCCATCACCCACACCACGGCCCGTCGTTCTCTCAGCTGTCCCGTGTCCCAGGGCCACCGGGGGCGCCGCGCAGCCTGTGTGGCCGAGCGGGCTCGGGGACTGTAGGATTGAAAATGCACTTGGGAGGATGTCTGAGACGGTGCCTGGGGGTGTGGGGCCGGGGCCCCAGCTCAGGGGAGGGACTGTGCAGGGCGAGGCCCCGCCACACGGGACGTGGTTCTGACAACGTCCTCCAAGCCATCCGGGATCCCCCCTCGGTCTCCCAGGAGCGGCTTTGCACACTGGCTCGGCCCGGCTCCCGGCTCGGCAAGTTCCACACTCGCAAGGTTTCCTCCGTCCTGGGCGTCGTGGCCCGGCCGGGTGACCGCAGAGCCACTGGCACCTGGGAGTGTCCCGGACCCACCAGAACTTTCCTGCACCCGCCGTGGGGGTCACTGCGCCAAAACTAGTAAGAGTGGGCTCCTCCTTCTGAGGTGCCCATGACCTGGACGTCTAGGGGGCTGGGCCCTCGCTTTCCTTAGCCTCAATTCCTGCTCGGAGCCCCAGGCCATGGGGCACGGCGTGGACACTGCTGCCCACGTCAGACCCGATGACCTGGGTCAGAGGTGGCCGGGCCCCCCCCTCCCGCCACGGGGTGAGCACGCTTCAGCGTCCCCCAGGAGACTCAGGGAGGGTGGGGTCCCCCCGCTGAGCCAGGGCGTGGAGGATGGGTGTGTGGGGAGGGCAGCGACGCCCTCAGGCTGGGGCCCCTGCGCCCTTGTTTACAATGCACGGTGACTGTTCCCTTCCACACGGCCGGGAGGGGCGGCGCCCAGGCTGTGGACCCAGCCCTCGGCCTGCACAGGAGCCCGCGGGAAGCGGAGAGGGGCTCAGACGGTGAGGGAGATGAAGCTGTTGTAGCGCTGGATGTTGCGCTGGAGGATGTCGGAGCAGGGCCCCAGCACACGCTCGAAGCGGGGCCGGTCCAGCTTCACGCACTTGAGGGGCCCGCGGGCCAGGACGGTAGCCGCCCGGGGCCGGTTCAGCAGCAGTGCGATCTCTCCTGCGGGCGAGAGGGCCGTCCGATTCGGGGAAAACAGCCAGAGACCCGGGACTCTGGCCTACATCTGACGTCGATAAACAATAAGCCTTCGGTGTAGCCCTGATCGGTGTGGCTCAGCGGATAGAGCGTCGGCCTGCGGACTGAGGGGTCCCAGGTTCGATTCCGGTCAAGGGCATGGGCCTTGGTTGCGGGCACATCCCCAGTAGGAGGTGTGCAGGAGGCAGCTGATGGATGTTTCTCTCATCATCGATGTTTCTAACTCTCTATCCCTCTCTCTTCCTCTCTGTAAAAAATCAATAAAATATGTTAAAAAAAAAAAAAAAAAAACCTTTGGTGTAAGCACTCGTGTGGGTGGTACTGGCACTGGTGCCGACGGGTCTCTCGGACGCCTGACATTCACATTCAGCCTGTGCCCGCCCCCGGGCCCCTTCAGCCAGGACGGGGCCAGTCGAGGCCTCACCCGGGCTGGGCCGTCCCCCGCAGGTCCCCTCCCTGCACCGCCAGCCCCACTCACCGAAGTAGTCGGAGGGCCCGAGGCGCCCCACCTCCACGTACTCCTCGCTCGGGGCCCGGCGCTGCAGCACGGAGGCCGTGCCCTGCGGACGCCAAGGGGAGAGTGAGGGCCGCCGGCCGAGGTCACCCATCGGGGGTCCCTGTGACGGGGCTCCCCCTCCCCAGCTCCTTCCCACACCCTCCCCCTGCGTCCGGCTTCCCCCACGGCCAGGCTGGGGCTGAGCCACCTCCAGCGGCCGTGGCTCCGTGGCTCCGTGGGAACCGGCGTCTCCGCGTGGCCACAGCCGACCTTCGCGAGGCCCCAGGGCTGGAGCGCGTCACGCCCGGCGAGCCGGACACAGGCTCCGGGCGCGTCCCGGCGGGCCGGCCGGGAGCACGGAGCGTCCGCAGCCTCACGCCCAATGATTAACAGGAGGCGTGAGGACCAGACAGCCGAGCCGTGACCCGTGACCCGTGACCGGTGACCCGCGTGCCTCCGCCGTGGTGGCCGGACGGCTGGGCAGCCTGGCGGGAGGCTCCCGGGAGGACTGTGTGGAGCGTTCCCGGCCCCTCGCCTGCGGGAACCGGGGCGTCCCTGTTGGTGGGACCCCGATGGCCGTCCTCTGAGCCCTGGGGGGAGGGCGTGAGGAGCAGCCCCCCCCCCCCCCCGGCTGGTCTCCCTCGCCCCCACTTCTAATTCTGAGCTCCGGGAGTCACAGCCTCTCCCCCGCTCCGGCTGCGTCCCCTTCACGGCCGAGGACCGCGGCGCTGGTGCGTCCGGCACGCCCGCCACCCATGCAGCACAGGAGCGTGACGGCTCCGCGGCCCGCGCCCGCCGCCGGCCGCCCCTCACGGCGCCGGTTAATGGGTAACCCCGTCTGGGAGCGGGCGGCCGGGCCTGGAGCGGGCCGGTGCACGGTGACCGTCCGGACGAGCCGAATGCCTGTCCCTGCGGGCTCCCCGCCCCCCGCGGCTCCGAGCGGCCGAGGAGCTGCCCACGGCGGCTCCCGGCTCCGTGACCCGCAGGCCCCGCCCACCGCTGCCGTGCCGTCCGTCACACACCCCGGGCTGCAGACCGTCGTCAAAACAACTGCACAAACACCCGGCTGGCGCCGCGCCCGCGGCCGGCTCCGTGCCAGCCTTCAGGGGATCGTCCGTGCACAGCGGCGGCTTCCGTGGGAAAACAGCACCAGCGGCCGGGGCCGGGCCGGGAGCAGGTGGCCCCCGACTGGGCCGCAGGCCCCGCCCAGCGCGCGCTCGCTGCACCCCGGGGGCCGTGCTCTGCGGGCAGTGCCCCCGGGGACTGGCCTGGGGCCTGGGGGGCCTGTGCTCTGCGGGCAGTGCCCCCGGGGACTGGCCTGGGGCCTGGGGGCCTGTGCACTGAGGGCAGTGCCCTCGGGGACTGGCCTGGGCCCGGGGGCCGTGCTCTGCGGGCAGTGCCCCCGCGGACCGGCCTGGGGCCCGGGGGCCTGTGCACTGAGGGCAGTGCCCCCGGGGACTGGCCTGGGGCCTGGGGGGCCGTGCTCTGCGGGCAGTGCCCCCGGGGACTGGCCTGGGCCCGGGGGCCTGTGCACTGAGGGCAGTGCCCCCGGGGACTGGCCTGGGCCCGGGGGCCTGTGCACTGAGGGCAGTGCCCCTGGGGACTGGCCTGGGGCCTTGGGGGCCGTGCTCTGCGGGCAGTGCCCCCGGGGACTGGCCTGGGGCCTGGGGGGCCTGTGCTCTGAGGGCAGTGCCCCCGGGGACTGGCCTGGGCCCCGGGGGCCTGTGCACTGAGGGCAGTGCCCCCGGGGACTGGCCTGGGGCCTTGGGGGCCGTGCTCTGCGGGCAGTGCCCTCGGGGACTGGCCTGGGCCCGGGGGCCGTGCTCTGCGGGCAGTGCCCCCGCGGACCGGCCTGGGGCCCGGGGGCCTGTGCACTGAGGGCAGTGCCCCCGGGGACTAGCCTGGGGCCTGGGGGGCCGTGCTCTGCGGGCAGTGCCCCCGGGGACTGGCCTGGGCCCGGGGGCCTGTGCACTGAGGGCAGTGCCCCCGGGGACTGGCCTGGGCCCGGGGGCCTGTGCACTGAGGGCAGTGCCCCTGGGGACTGGCCTGGGGCCTTGGGGGCCGTGCTCTGCGGGCAGTGCCCCCGGGGACTGGCCTGGGGCCTGGGGGGCCTGTGCTCTGAGGGCAGTGCCCCCGGGGACTGGCCTGGGCCCCGGGGGCCTGTGCACTGAGGGCAGTGCCCCCGGGGACTGGCCTGGGGCCTTGGGGGCCGTGCTCTGCGGGCAGTGCCCCCGGGGACTGGCCTGGGGCCCGGGGGCCTGTGCACTGAGGGCAGTGCCCCCGGGGACTGGCCTGGGCCCGGGGGCCTGTGCACTGAGGGCAGTGCCCCCGGGGACTGGCCTGGGCCCGGGGGCCTGTGCACTGAGGGCAGTGCCCCCGGGGACTGGCCTGGGGCCTTGGGGGCCGTGCTCTGCGGGCAGTGCCCCCGGGGACTGGCCTGGGGCCCGGGGGCCTGTGCACTGAGGGCAGTGCCCCCGGGGACTGGCCTGGGGCCAGGGGGCCGTGCTCTGCGGGCAGTGCCCTCGGGGACTGGCCTGGGGCCTGGGGGGCCGTGCTCTGCGGGCAGTGCCCCCGGGGACTGGCCTGGGCCCCGGGGGGCCGTGCTCTGCGGGCAGTGCCCTCGGGGACTGGCCTGGGCCCCGGGGGCCTGTGCTCTGCGGGCAGTGCCCTCGGGGACTGGCCTGGGGCCCGGGGGCCTGTGCACTGAGGGCAGTGCCCCCGGGGACTGGCCTGGGGCCCGGGGGCCTGTGCACTGAGGGCAGTGCCCCCGGGGACTGGCCTGGGGCCCGGGGGCCGTGCTCTGCGGGCAGTGCCCCCGGGGACTAGCCTGGGGCCTGGGGGCCGTGCTCTGAGGGCAGTGCCCCCGGGGACCGGCCTGGGCCCCGGGGGGCCATGCTCTGCGGGCAGTGCCCTCGGGGACTGGCCTGGGGCCTGGGGGGCCTGTGCACTGAGGGCAGTGCCCCCGGGGACCGGCCTGGGGCCCGGGGGCCGTGCTCTGCGGGCAGTGCCCTCGGGGACTGGCCTGGGCCCGGGGGCCTGTGCACTGAGGGCAGTGCCCTCGGGGACTGGCCTGGGGCCTGGGGGCCCGTGCTCTGAGGGCCCCCGGGGGCCTGTGCACTGGGACCCTGGGCTCCGCTCTGGGTGACAAAGGTTAGGGAGGGGAGGGGGGACTGAATAGCGACCTGTCCCTCCGCCCAAGGGAGGGGTGATGGAGGGACAGCCACTCCGGCTGCCACACCCTGGGCCGGGGACAAGGCCGCCCTGCAGAGCTACTCGGCATTTTGGGGTCTTTTCCCCTCTGACGGGGGCGTCCCCTGCTCCAGAGCTCCCTGCCCGTCCACCACAGCGGCTGAGGGACATGCGAGAGGCACCAACCGGTGGAAAGTTACTGATTTTTATTCCTGAATCGCGGTTTGAAACGGTCAGTCACGCCCCGCCGACTAGCTCAGTGGATGAGTGTCCACCTATGAACCAAGGGATCAGGGTTCGATCCCGGTCAGGGCCAGGCCCAGGTTATAGGCGGGATCCCAGTTTGGGGCGTCCAGGAGGCAGCGGGTCCATGATTCTCTCTCATCATGGATGTTTCTCTCTCCCTCTGCCTTCCCCTCTGAAATCAATAAAAATACAATAAAAATAATAATAAGAAGAAAACTCAGTCCCTGTGGGCTTTTCTGGGCTCGGCAGGACCAGGCGGGGGCGAGAGGCCGGGCTCTGAGGCTCGTGGCGAAGGCTCGGGGCCAGTGTCCTCTGGCGAGAGCCAGGAGGGTAACGGTCAGCACCGTGGGGGCTCCCGGGGTCAAACGGGCTGGACACAGGGGTGAGGGACACACTGACGGGCAGAGTGTCAGCCACGAAACGGGGGGCTGGCGGGACAAGCACCATGTGGTCCCCCGTTCGGTGGTGCGCCCCAAAGAGGAGGGAAACGTTGACCCCTGCGGCCAGGGGGTCACGGTGCCCGGGGGTCAGCAGACACAGATGGACACACACGGACTCCCCGTGTGAGGCCGGGAGGAGCCAGTTCGCAGACGGGAGGACACGGCCGTGAGCGCGGGCACACCAGGCGGGGACCGCGCGGGCTCCTCGCCAGCCAGGCCGTCTGCAAAAGCACTTCCCGGCGCGGCCCGGGCGGGGCTTCCCTTTTCTGCTGAGGAGGCTGGACGGAGCGGCCGCCCGCGGCGCTGACCGGCGGCCGGCGTGGGCTCCGAGCTGCAGTCCCTGGTGGAGACGGCCCGGCCTCAGCCATGAAGACGCAGCGCTCACTCTGGACGGAGCCCCAGACAGGCCTGACCCGTGCGAGGCTGACCCGGGGCCGCGGGGGGCAGACGCCCTCACGTGTCCCAGGCACAGGCCTCCCCCGCTGTGTCTGCGCCCCCACGGCCAGGCCACCCGCCCACCACACCCGGGCGCCCTGTCCCTCCTTCTCCATCTTCACCCTTCAATCCCCAGACCTCCCTTCCACACCACCCCTCGGGCGGGGCGGCCCCTGCTCCTCCGGCTGAGCCCCCGGCCTTCCTGCCCCGGCCTGACCATCTCTCCACGCAGGCCGCCTGGCAGAGCTCCAGAACGTGGGCGGACACACAGCCGGCGGCCGCCACGCCCTGCCCGGCAGGCGGAGCCTCAGGCTGGCGCACAGTGGGGGCGCGACAGGTGCAGGCGGAGGGCCGTGGTGGGGCCGGCGGGCTCCAGGCTGCGTGTCCCGAGATGGTGGTGAGATCGGCTCTGAGACACAGTGTGCCAGAGGAGATAAACCCGCCCAGCGTTTCTATGGCAACGCCGCCAGCACAGCTGATGCGTGAGCCCGGAATCTCACTCCCAGATTTTACAGAAACCGGCTGGTGAGGTCCGGCCGTCCCCGGGCTGCGCAGAGGGTCCCGTGGGCACAGGACGCAGCAGAGGGACCCGAGGCGCAGGCCGGCCCCTCTCCTCTGCCAGGGGCCTGGCTGTTCCGGAAGAGTCGGGGGCATGAGTGGGAGTCAGGGTTTCCCAAAGAAACAGAACCGACGGGGTGAGCACAGGGAGACCTCAACGCCGAGGAATGGCAGCTGGGACACTGCGCGTATGCACAGTAGCACATGTGTTCACACAGCCACACGTGCAGTTACATGTGCACACGTGCAGGCACACGCACAGTCACGCGTGCACTCACACATGTGCACACGTGTGCAGGAACTGCCCAGCAGAGTGCCGGAGCAGAGCCTCCAGAACGGGGGAGTGAGGTGCAGGCTGACCCCGGTCTGTCCCTTGCTGCCGTGTGTGTCCTTGGGCAGAAGACCAGCCCTCGCTGCCCGGACTCCCCCACGGCACAGCCTCCCCCACGGGGCAGCCAGGTCCCCGGACAGGGCTGCGGGGGCAGACAGCTCTCGGCACAGCCAAGCTCTGGCTGTTATCGACGACAGTCGGGTGGGGACGCTCTCCTTGCCCTGAGCGTCTGCGCGGACCTCCCGCCGTCCGCGCTCTCACACACATCACTGCCCTGTTTCCTCCTGGGCCCGGCCCAGCTGGGAGGAGGCGGCCTCGGAGAAGAATGGACAGTTGTCTCCAGGGCCAGGGCCGTCCCTCATTCAGACCAGCGGCTCTGAGGCTGCCGAGCCCACGGCCAGGCTGCAGGGCCGGGCGGGGACGGGGGGCCGCCACCCCGCAGCCCCTCCTCCCGGCTGTGGCCAGGCCGCCCAGGAGCCAGGCACCAGGAGAAGAGATGCAGGTTTTCACAGGAAATATCCTGATTTTTAAATATCAGAAACCTGTTCACTCAAATGGTGAAAAAGCCGGCGTGCGAGTCCACACCCAGGCCCCTGGGCCAGGCGGCCGTGAGTGCAGGGCACACGCAGGGCACACGCAGGGCACACGCAGGGCACACGCAGGGGAGGACGGCCCGCCCTCTGGCCCCCGCAGCCTGGACTGCTCTAGAAGGACCAGCAGCCTCTGTGGGGCCTCCCCACCCCTCACTGGGGCCTCCTTCTGGGCCTCAGGGCGCCAGCGAGAGCCCCACACAGCCAGCCCTGGAGCAGGGCTCAGGGGCCGAGCACCAACCACGGACCAGGAGGTCAGGGTTCGAGTCCTATCAGGGCACAGGCCTGGGTTCTGGGCTCGACCCCCAGTGTGGGGTGCGCAGGAGGCAGCCGGTCCGTGACTCTCTGGCCGTCCTGGTGTTTGATAATCCTCACCGAGGGTATGTTTCCATTTCTCTCTCTCTCTCTCTCTCTCTCTCTCTCTCTCTCTCTCTCTCTCTCTTTTAGAGAGAGAGGGAAAAATAGAGAGAAACATCAATGTGAGAGGAACACCCGACCAGGCCCTGGGCTGGGAGGAGCCTGCAACCCAAGTACCTGCCCTCGACTGGACTTGGACCCGGGACCCTCTGGGGGGGACGCCGGCCACACAGCTGCCGCCCCCGTCAGTGACTGACAGCCGCCTGTCACAGCCCTCAGGGCCAGCCCCGTGGACAGGAAGTGAGTCACACGTGTGCAGCAGAGAAGCCTGGTGCCATTTTCCAAAATCAAACCTTTAGCTGAGAGCGTTACAGACCACACGCCGCTGGACATACGAACAACACAGAGACCCCACGGCCCTCCACAGCCACGCACCCCGAAAACCCAGTGCCTCCTTGCCCAGGTTCTGACGAGGGAGCAGCCGCCAACCTGGCCCAGAGCCCGCCCTCACATGTACTGTGTGCGTCACCACACACACGTGGGGCCGGGACGCCATGTGTACAGAACACACACGTGTGCACAGAACACACACGTGTATAGAACACACATGTGTGTACAGAACAGAGCCTCAGATCCCAGGAAGACTCATAGGAGTGGGCGTGGGGCTGCCTGCCCTGGTTGCAGAGGGTGAGAGTGTGGGCTCAGGGCACACATGGACGCTTGTCCCCACCTCCCAGCTGCACACACGGCCATGTGACCTGCACACACACACCCCACCGTGCCCACGCGGCCTGCACGCCCCCCGTGTCTGCGTCCGCAGGCGCACCTCCGTGCCCACAACCACACAACCTGCCCCCGTGCCCACAGCCATGTGACCTCCACGCCCCCCACGGCCACGGCCACGGCCACGCCACGCGATCTGCACACACACCCCACGTCTGCAGGCGCACCTCTGTGCCCACAGCCACACAACCTGCCCCCGTGCCCACAGCCATGTGACCTCCACGCCCCCCACGGCCACGGCCACAGCCACACGATCCGCAGGCGCACCTCCGTGATGATGAAGAAGTCGTCGCCGGGCTCGCCCTGCACCACGATCTTCTCTCCGTCCTCAAACTGCACGGGCTCCAGGGCGTCGGCCACCGTCAGGCGCTCCCACTTCTCCAGGGACTCTGGGGGAGGGGGGGTGGCGGTGTCACCCAATGGCACCTCAGACCCGCCCCAGCCCTCCATGAGGTCCGTGCGGGGGACCGGAGCAGAGGCCGAGGGGCCGAGGGCCGACACACAGACCGGCCTCGGGGGGCGTGGCTCAGATGGGCTGCTCCAGCGCACGTCACACACCACATGCCACATGTCACGCCACATGCCACATGCCACATGCCACATGCCACATGCCACGCCACACGCCACACGCCACATGGCACACATCACATGCCACACATCACGTGCCACATATCACGTGCCACACGCCACGTGGCACACACCACATGCCACATATCACATGCCACATATCACATGCCACGCCACATGGCACACGCCACATGCCATGCATCACATGCCACATATCACGTGCCACACGCCACATGGCACACGCCACATGCCACACGCCACATGCCACATGCCACACGTCACGCCCCCGCCCCCACGTCTAAGCTGAGGAGTGCTCGGTGCCCTCGGCTCTCCGGGAGATCAGAGCTGCTGCGCTCTGCAAACAGCAGAGCCGGCTGACAGGACAGGGGCTGTGGCTTTGAAAGGACCGAGCGTGTGCTCAGGCCGCGTGTGCCAGTGCCAGAGGACACGCCGGTTCGCGTGGCCACCCTCAGGCGGGCACCGGGTTCCACAGCCACGTGTGCCTCCAGGCTGGCTGTGCACGGCCCCGCCCGCCCGGTCCCTCTAACCCTCGGAGGGACCCCTCGCGCTCCCTGTAGGAGCTTTGCTCGCTGGTTCCGGCCCGGCCCGCCAGACGCACGGATGTGGGTCAGTGGCTAAAAACACACGGCCGAGCCTCTGTTTTAGTCTGGGGAAGGGGCCGCTCTCCCGCTGTACAACTCCTGCCACCCTCCAGCCAGCCCGGGGTCCGGGGTGCCCGGGGCTGGGGGGTGCCCGGGGTCGGGGCGCCCGGGGTCGGGGGGCGCCGGGGCCGGGGGGCGCCCGGGGCCGGGGGGTGCCCGGGGCCGGGGTGCCCAGGAGCTGTGGGCATGGATGCTCAGGGTTGGAGGATAAGCTGGAGGAAATGGCACTGGCCGTAGAGGACAGACAGACCAGCAACACGCCTGCGGACAAAGATGGCTTGATTCTGACCAACAGCAGCGTGCTCACATGTGTGTCCATGTGTTCATACATGCAGGTGTGTGCACACATATGTGGGCTGTGCACAGGTGCACACCTGTGAGCATGCACATGCGGCCAAGATGTGTGTGCGCCTGCTGTGCCCAGCACCCAGCCCACGGAGGCTGAGGCCGGACAGTGGGGGTGGGCTGGGAGGGGGGGTGGGGGTGGGGTGGGGATAGGGGTGGGGGTGGGGTGGGGGTGGGGGTGAGGAGGGATGGGATGGGCTGGGATGGGAGTGGGGGGGTGCGGGATGGAGGTGGAGGTGGGGGTGGGGTGGGGATAGGGGTGGGGGTGGCGTGGGGTAGGGGGGGTGGGGGTGGGGGTGAGGAGGGATGGGATGGGCTGGGGTGGAAGTGGGGGAGTGGGGGAATGGAGGTGGGGGTGGGCTGGGGGTGGGGGTGGGGTGGGGTGGGGGTGAGGAGGGATGGGGTGGGCTGGGGTGGGGATGGGGGTGGGGTAAGGGTGGGGGTGGGGGGGGTGGGGGGGGCTGAAGGTGGGGGGGTGCGGTGAGTGTGGAGGTGGGGGGTGGGGGGATGGAGGTGGAGGTGGGGGTGGGGTGGGGTGGGGTGGGGGTGGGGGGTGGGGGTGGGGGTGGGGATGGGCTGGGGTGGGAGTGGGGGGTAGGGGGATGGAGGGGGGGTGGGGTGGGCTGGGGTGGGGGTGGGGTTGGGGTAAGGGTGGGGGTGGGGGGTGGGGGGGGCTGAAGGTGGGGGGGGTGCGGTGGGTGTGGAGGTGGGGGTGGGGGGATGGAGGTGGAGGTGGGGGTGGGGTGGGGTGGGGTGGGGGTGAGGAGGGATGGGGTGGGCTGGGGTGGGGGTGGGGTTGGGGTAGGGGTGGGGGTGGGGGTGGGGGTGGGGATGGGCTGGGGTGGGAGTGGGGGGGTGGGGGGATGGAGGGGGGGTGGGGTGGGCTGGGGTGGGGGTGGGGTTGGGGTAGGGGTGGGGGTGGGGGTGGGGTGGGGGTGGGGGTGGGGTGGGGTGGGGGTGGGGGGGTGGGGGGATGGGGGGGGGGTGGGGTGGGCTGGGGTGGGGGTGGGGTGGGGTTGGGGTAAGGTGGGGGTGGGGGTGGGGGGGCTGAAGGGGGGGGGGTGCGGTGGGTGTGGAGGTGGGGGTGGGGGGATGGAGGTGGAGGTGGGGTGGGGGTGGGGTGGGGTGGGGGTGAGGAGGGCTGGGGTGGGCTGGGGTGGGGGTGGGGTTGGGGTGGGGGTGGGGGGGTGGGGGGGGTGGGGGGGCTGAATGGTGGGGGGGTGCGGTGGGTGTGGAGGTGGGGGGTGGGGGGTGGACTGACCGAGGATGGAGACCTTGCTGAGGAACTCCTCGTACATCTTGCGCTTCCGCAGCGTGCTGCCCTGTGGGGAGGGGTCGAGGGAGGGTTTGTGCCCGGGGCAGGCTCGTCCACGTCTCCCCGAGTGACCCCTCTGCCCTCCGCGCCCCAGAGCCCCTCCGATGACAGAGTCCAGGGAGCGGCCTCGTCCCAATGCCGGCACCTCGTCCCTCCGGCCCGCAGGGCCCTGACCACGCCGGGGGGCCACGCCGGGGGGCCACGCCCCTGAGCGCATCCTCCCAGGGCTGGGCCCGCCCTCCTCCGGCCAAGGACGTGGAGGCGGCGGCTGGACGCCCGCTCGGGGAGGGCGCAGACCCTGCTCCGGCCGCCCTGCCTGAGGAGGAGAGAAACGGAGGGGGCCACGTGGCACGGCCTGTCCCAGACAGCTATGACAGAAATGCGACAGCGTGGAGAGCATCAGGAATGCTGCCCGGGAACGGGGTTCCCAGGCGCCCTGCAGGCTCAGACTCACACTGCTGGGCATGAGCGGAGCCCCGTGTCCCCCCCCAGCATCCAGACCCCAGGAGCCCTCCTGCAGGAGACTGCGCCCACGACGCACTGCCTAAGGATGCTCCAGCCACACCCTGGCCTCCAACAGAGGACACTCAGGCGCATGCCTGGGGGGCACTGCCAGCTGGACAGTGTGGGCCGGGGCACTGTGAGCTGAGCCTCAGAAACACCCACCGCACTGACCGTGAGGGACAGACTCAGCTGTTTCCTAGGGGTGGAATGGTGGTGATGGTGGTGGTGGTGATGGTGGTTATGATAATGATGGTGGTGATGGTGGTGGTGGTGATGGTGGTTATGATAATGATGGTGGTGATGGTGATGGTGGTGATGGTGTTAGTGATGGTGGTGATGGTGCTGGTGGTGGTGATGGTGTTAGTGATGGTGGTGATGGTGCTGGTGGTGATGGTACTGGTGGTGGTGATGGTGGTGATGGTGTTGGTGATGGTGGTGATAATGGTGGTGGTGGTGATGGTGCTGATGGTGGTGGTGGTGATGGTGGTGATGGTGTTGGTGATGGTGGTGATAATGGTGGTGGTGGTGGTGATGGTGATGGTGTTAGTGATGGTGGTGGTGATGGTGGTGATTGATAGTGGTGGTGGTGATGGTGGTGATGGTGTTAGTGATGGTGGTGGTGGTGATGGTGGTGATGGTGGTTATGATAATGGTGGTGGTGGTGGTGATGGTGCTGATGGTGATGGTGGTGGTGATGGTGGTGATGGTGTTGGTGATGGTGGTGATAATAGTGATGATGGTGATGATGGTGGTGCTGATGGTGATGGTGGTGGTGATGGTGGTGATGGTGTTGGTGATGGTGGTGATAATGGTGGTGGTGGTGATGATGGTGATGGTGTTAGTGATGGTGGTGGTGATGGTGGTGATTGATGGTGGTGGTGGTGGTGGTGATGGTGGTGATGGTGTTAGTGATGGTGGTGGTGGTGATGGTGGTGATGGTGGTTATGATAATGATGGTGGTGGTGGTGATGGTGCTGATGGTGATGGTGGTGGTGATGGTGGTGATGGTGTTGGTGATGGTGGTGATAATGGTGGTGGTGGTGGTGATGGTGATGGTGTTAGTGATGGTAGTGGTGATGGTGGTGATGGTGGTGGTGGTGGTGGTATTGCACTCTTCAATGAATACAGGGAAGGAGGACCATCGGAGGGTCAGCACACTCTAACTCCAACCCCAGGCTGCCCATGACCCTCGCTCCTGGACCCGTCCAGCCTTTCTGTGCCTCAGTTTCTCCATCAGGAGGGTGACCCGGCACCACCTCCTCTGTCCGTCTCTGATCTGGTCCTCCCGGGCCAGCAGCTGCCCCTCTCCCTCAGGTCTTTCCAGGTGTGAGGCTCAGGGAGGGGTCCCCACGGGCTCTTGTCCACGTGGCTGCTAAGTGGCGGAGCCAAGGCTGAAACAGCCGATACCCACACCGCAGAGTCCACGCTGTGCTGGACACGGCTTCTCTCCCCGAGGGGCCGGCACGGGCCGCCCGACCCCACATGCTTGTCCTGTGCCACGATGCCTGCCCTCAGCCTCTCACTGAGGAAGGGAGGCCAGCCTGGCCGCCCAGCCCGTCGCCCCGTCCCTGCCGGTCACGACACAGGCATTTCTCCGAACCATTTGAAACTCACAGGACCCGGCAGGCCCACCGCCGGTGGAATGCAGGCACGTGAGCCCTGCAAAGGGCTCAGTGCAAAGGCCGTCTGCCTCCCTCGCAGAGTGACAGCGGAGGGCGCCCGAACCCCCAGGGAAGGAGACCGCCCCAAAGGCTGATGGGAAGTTTTCAGAAAGTTTCCTCTGTGGTGAGACCGCGGGTGGGGCTGGGCTGGGACCCGGGCCATGTGCTCGCTCTGAGCGGGCGTCCAGGGACCAGCTATGACCTAGGACAGAGGTCAGCAAACTCATTGGTCAACAGAGCCAGCTGGGCGCAGCAGGAGCCTGGAGGCCGAGCCGCCAGTGAGGCTGGGCAGGGCCTCCTGCTGGGAACAGTGGGGGGGGGGGGGGGGGGCAGGGGACACTCTAGGGAACCCAGAACCGGGGCGAACATTTTGGGAGGCAGCCGCGCCTGGGCGACCCCGCCGATGTCCCTCCCCAGTGCCCATGCCCGTGCCCATGCCCGTGCCCATGCCCGCGGCCGCATGTCCAGCTCAGCGCTGGACCAACGCTGGGACCCACTATTCCACATCAAATCCCCACAGGAGGGCCTGAGGCCGAAGCTGCAGGTCCTGCAGACACGCCTGGGGACACGCCCTGGACACACCCAAGACACGCCTGGGACACGCCTGGGACGCGCAGTCCTCTTCCTGCCGGCAGCACCACCGGGCTATTCTTAGGGCCCAGGGACCAGAATTAACTCAGAGGAAGAGCCAGCTGCCTCTCTGGTTTGGGAACTTCCCTAAATATAAGCTCCAGCCACAAAACCCCACAGCCAAGGGGCTCAGCGGCTGGCGGGAAGCAGGACTCGCACACCCGGGCCAGGTGCCTCCAGGCGACGGGATTGTCCCCAGAGCCCGCCTCTGGGCAGGAGCCCCGGGGCACAGGAGGGAGCAGGGGGCAGGGGGAAGAGGGGCAGGGGGCAGGGGACAGGGAGCAGGGGGGCAGGGGAACAGGGGGCAGAGGAGCAGGGGGCAGGGGGCAGGGAGCAGGGGGCAGGGGAGCAGGGGGGCAGGGGAGCAGGGGGGCAGGGGAGCAGTGGGCAGGGGGCAGGGGGCAGGGGGCAGGGAGCAGGGGGGCAGGGGGACAGGGGCAGGGGGGCAGAGGGCAGGGGGCAGGGGGACAGGGAGCAGGGGGGCAGGGAGCAGGGGGCAGGGGGGCAGGCGAACAGGGGGGCAGGGGAGCAGGGGGCAGGGGGAAGAGGGGCAGGGGGCAGGGGGGCAGGGGAGCAGGGGGGCAGGGGAGCAGTGGGCAGGGAGCAGGGGGGCAGGGGGCAGGGAGCAGGGGGGCAGGGGAACAGGGGGCAGGGGGGCAGGGGGCAGGAGGCAGAGGGCAGGGGGGCAGGGAGCAGGGTGCAGGGGAGCAGGCGAACAGGGGGCAGGGGGGCAGGGGGCAGGGGGGCAGGCAGAGGAGACATCCTGGGCAGCCGTGGTGGGCACTCGGCGTCCCTTCCCAAGGGCACGAACAAGGAGCTCCCCGGTGCCCCCACCCGAGCCGAACCCCCCACGCCCTGGGCTCTGGGCCGCTCACCATGAGGATGTGGCGGTAGCTGAGGATGCAGCTCGCAGGCCCGCCCATGGCGCTGGAAGCCAGCCTCCCCGCCCCCCCCCCCCCAGGCTCAGGGCAGCCTGGCCCATGGCACTCACCATGAGGATGGGGCTCAGGGCGGCCTGGCCCATGGCACTCACCATGAGGATGGGGCTCAGGGCGGCCTGGCCCCTGGCACTCACCATGAGGATGCGGCTCAGGGCGGCCTGGCCCATGGCACTCACCATGAGGATGGGGCTCAGGGCGGCCTGCCCATGGCACTCACCATGAGGATGGGGCTCAGGGCGGCCTGGCCCATGGCACTCACCATGAGGATGGGGCTCAGGGCGGCCTGCCCATGGCACTCACCATGAGGATGGGGCTCAGGGCGGCCTGGCCCATGGCACTCACCATGAGGATGCGGCTCAGGGCGGCCTGGCCCATGGCACTCACCATGAGGATGCGGCGGTAGCTGTCACGGTCGATGCCCCAGAGCTTGAGGTCGGTCTTGGCCTTCACGGTGGCCGCCCGGGGGGTGCCGTAGATGAGTGCCAGCTCCCCAAAGCTGCCGCCCTCGCTGATGCCGGTCACCCACTCCCCGTTCACGTACACCTGGGCAGCACGAGAAAGGTCACGGGGCGCGGGGTCAGAGCAACATGGCCGCCACGGGAGGTCCTGACTGGTGGAAAGCGTGCTCTCCTCCCTGGCCCGGCCACGGTGCCCGCCCCCAACCCTGCCCGGCCCCCCAGCCCTGCCCGGCCCCCCCAACCCTGCCCATCCCCCCCAACCTTGCCCACCCCCCAGACCTGGCCAGGGTGCCCGTCCCTCCAACCCTATCCTCCCCGCCGTCCTCCCCACCGGCTGTCCTCCCCACCGGCTGTCCTCCCGGCCATCCTCCCCACCGACTGTCCTCCCCACCGGCCGTCCTCCCCGCAGTCCTCCCAGCCGCTGTCCTCCCCACCGGCTGTCCTCCCCACCGACTGTCCTCCCCACCGACTGTCCTCCCCGCCGGCCGTCCTCCCCGCCGGCCGTCCTCTCGGCCGCTGTCCTCCCCACCGGCTGTCCTCCCCGCCGGCTGTCCTCCCCGCCGGCTGTCCTCCCGGCCGCTGTCCTCCCCGCCGGCTGTCCTCCCGGCCGCTGTCCTCCCCACCGGCTGTCCTCCCCACCGGCTGTCCTCCCCGCCGGCTGTCCTCCCCGCCGGCTGTCCTCCCCACCGGCTGTCCTCCCCACCGGCTGTCCTCCCCGCCGGCTGTCCTCCCCGCCAGCTGTCCTCCCCGCCGGCTGTCCTCCCCACCGGCTGTCCTCCCGGCAGCTGTCCTCCCCGCTGTCCTCCCCACCGGCTGTCCTCCCCATCGGCTGTCCTCCCTGCTGTCCTCCCAGCCGCCGTCCTCCCCACTGGCTGTCCTCCCCGCCGGCTGTCCTCCCGGCAGCTGTCCTCCCCGCCGGCTGTCCTCCCCACCGGCTGTCCTCCCGGCAGCTGTCCTCCCCGCTGTCCTCCCCCACCGGCTGTCCTCCCCACCGGCTGTCCTCCCTGCTGTCCTCCCAGCCGCCGTCCTCCCCACTGGCTGTCCTCCCCGCCGGCTGTGCTCCCCGCTGTCCTCCCCGCTGTCCTCCCCGCCGGCTGTCCTCCCCGCCGGCTGTCCTCCCAGCCGCTGTCCTCCCCGCTGTCCTCCCCCACCGGCTGTCCTCCCCACCGGCTGTCCTCCCCGCCGGCTGTCCTCCCCGCCGGCTGTCCTCCCCGCCGGCTGTCCTCCCCACCAGCTGTCCTCCCAGCCGCTGTCCTCCCCGCTGTCCTCCCCGCCGGCTGTCCTCCCCGCCGGCTGTCCTCCCCACCGGCTGTCCTCCCCCACCGGCTGTCCTCCCCGCCGGCTGTCCTCCCGGCCGCTGTCCTCCCCACCGGCTGTCCTCCCGGCCACTGTCCTCCCGTCAATGGCCAGCCAGGCCCCCGAGGGCCAGGCAGATCCCGGGTCAGCGCGGGTGCGGCCCCGCGTTCCCGCCGTGCCCCGGCCCCGTGCCCCGCCCGGCCCGCACCCCGAGCACAGCGTGGACCGTGGCCGCAGAGCACCAGGGCCACGGTCAGAGCGGCTCTGTTCTCCCTCCGTCGATGGGCACGAAGAACGGCCCCCATGGAGTGGGCGCAGCCGGGGAGAGCGAGTCATGGAGGCCGTTCTCATTGGAACCAACGTGTCCTTATCGCAGGGAGAGGTGGTGCCGAGCAGCCAGCGAGGAGGACATGGGGGTGCCTCCTCCGCCCGAGGCCGGTCAGGGACCGCCGACCGCCCGCCCGAGGCCGGACAGGGACCGCCGACCGCCCGCCCCCGAGGCCAGACAGGATCGCACCGCCGAGAGCCGGACAGGGACCGCACGCCCCGAGGCCGGACAGGGAACGCGACCGTCCCCGCCCGAGGCCGACAGGGACCGCCGAACGACCGCCCGAGGCCGGACAGGGACCGCCCGCCCCGAGGGCGCGACGCCCCCCGAGGCCGGCCAGGGACGCGCGTCCGCCCGCCCGAGGCCGGACGGACCGCCGGACCCGCCCGCCCGAGGCCGTTACAGGGACCGCCGACCGCCCGCCCGAGGCCGGACAGGGACCGCCCAACCGCCCGCCCGAGGCCGGACAGGGACCGCCCGCCCGAGGCCGGACAGGGACCGCCGACCGCCCGCCCGAGGCCGGACAGGGACCGCCGACCGCCCGCCCGAGGCCGGACAGGGACCGCCGACCGCCCGCCCGAGGCCGGACAGGGACCGCCGACCGCCCGCCCGAGGCCGGACAGGGACCGCCGACCGCACCGCCCGAGCGGCGGACACCGGACCGCCCGCCCGAGGCCGGACGGACCGCGGACCGCCCGCCCGAGGCCGGACAGGGACCGCCGCGCCCGAGGCCGGACAGGGACCGCCCGCCCGAGGCCGGACAGGGACCAGCCCGCCCGAGGCCTGGACGGGGGCCGCCCGCCCGAGCCGGACAGGGACCGCCGACCGAGGCCGGGACAGGGACCGCCCGCCCGAGGCCGGACAGGGACCCGCCCGCCCGAGGCCGGACGGGGGCCACCAGCCGGGAGTTTCCAGGGAAGCTCGAGGCAGAGCTTCCTGCGGCGTCGGCGTCCGTCCGTCCGTCCATCCGTCCGTCCGTCCCAGGGCCTGCCCCGGGAGCCTTCCCCCTCCGCCCGGCCCGCCCGCTGCTGGCCACCTCAGCCCCACGTGCCCTCTGCCCAGCGGGAGCCGCACACGCCACCCGTCCTCCGGAGGCGTGTGGACAGGCCTGTCCAGGTCCTTTTCCAAGAGCCCGGAGCGGGGGCGGGGGCACACAGCCCGGTGCTGGCCCCTCGGCCTCAGCTGGTCTTCCCGACCCTGCTCTTCCGGGAACCCCGACCGTGGAGCTGCACCCACAAACGTCAGCGCCCACGAACCCGGTGAGCAGCTCCTCTCCCCACCGCTCAGGCCGCGGTGCGGGGTCTCCCGGGGCCCCTGCCAGGGACAGTCCGTGAGGACCCAGGAGCGGGAAGGGATCGAGCAGTGAGCCCCCGCTGCCTCCGTGTCGGTGAGCGGGCCCAGCCCCTCGTCCTCTGGGCCACACGGGGACGGCCCGCTGAGGGCAGTTCCGGTTTGGGCTGTGACCCCGACGCCGGACGCCCCGTCCTTCTGGGTCACAGCACAGGGAGCAGGAGCAGGGGTGTGGCAGCAGAGCCGCCCTGATGGCGGCTCCCGCCTTTCCCAGGGCACGGCCCCCCGGGACAGGGACGGGCCCGGTGGACCCCAGCGCCCAGGCTGCAGGCCGAGAGGAGTCAGAGGCCGGCATTGTGGGCCGGCCCGGCCCAGCACAGAGGCCGTCTCTCCCGGACAGAGGCCTCTGTCCCCGGGGCCGCCCAGCCCAGCTGGCACGGGCTGCCTCTTGCTTTGTTTCCTTCTGTCCTTGTTTTCTTCTTTTAAAGAAGGTGGTGGGAGGCCCCGGGCCACACGGAGGCAATCACCACGACCGTGGCTTCTCTGGTCGGACCCGGAGCTCCCACCCGGCCGTCCGGTCCTTCCGGCCGTTCACCGTCCACGCGGCACGCGGCAGCCGAGCTGCTGAGGCCCCGAGCCCGGCGCTTGGGCCAGCAGGAGGCGGTGAGGCCGGAGCCGGGCTGAGGGCACGCACACACACACACACGCACTCGTCACAGGTCATGCTCAGACCGTGGAGAGAGGGTCCGAGCAGAGGCCAGGACACAGGCCTGATGCAGCCGCAGACGTGGGGAGAGGCGGGGCGGGAGAGCTTGGCATCTGGGCCTGGTGCTGGGTGAGGGCCGCGGGGCAGCCTGCAGGGGCAGCGAGGAGCAGGCCCCGACCAGGTCACTAAGAGCCGCCCGGGCCAGCGGCACCTGTGGACGGCGGATGCAGGGACAGGGCCAGCAGCCGGTCTGGAGCAGGCAGTGCTGACGGAGGCTCAGGTCGGACACCTCAGACCGGGCAGGGCTGGAGGCGGAGATGATGCTGAGGGAAGGCACACACCACCTCCGTGAACCCCCGAGGCCGCCATGGGCAGTGCTGGGTCCGTCAGCACAGGACTGAGGGCATCACTCACCTGGCCGTGCCCAGTCAGTGCTTGCCGTACCCACCTGCCCGTGCCCACCTGGCCATGCCCACCTGGCACTGTCCACCTGGCATTGTCCACCTGGCATTGTCCACCTGGTCATGCCCACCTGGCCGTGCCCACCTGGCATTGTCCACCTGGCATTGTCCACCTGGCTATATCCACCTGGCCATGCCCACCTGGCATTGTCCACCTGGTCGTGCCCACCTGGCTGTGCCCACCTGGCATTGTCTGCCTGGTCATGCCCACCTGGCATTGTCCATCTGGCATTGCCCACCTGGCATTGCCCACCTGGCCATGCCCACCTGGTTGTGCCCACCTGGCATTGTCTGCCTGGTCGTGCCCAGCTGGACAGGTAGCTGGGCGATGAGAACTGGGGAAAGTGCCAGAAGCTGGGCCAGGGGTGGGGAGGCCCCGCTGTCTCGCTCCATCGCCTGCCCCCAGCCGACCCCACAGAAAGGAAACCAGCTGGACAGCCGTCTGGGGACTGGGCACGAGGCGCCAGTCACCTGAGCTGCCCACGTGGCCGAGCAGACGCGGGCACCCCCGCTCCTGCCGTCGCTACAGCCCGGGTGAAGGTCGCCCCGCGGGCAGCGGGCCTGCGAGTGCCTCCTCAGTGCTAACCAAGGCTCCTGGCTGCCTCCCCCGCCTCCCAGGCTCCCGGCACCAGGAGGGGGCGTCCGTGCAGGTGCGGGGGCACCTGGTCCGGGAGGTCACCTTCCCCGCATCCCTGAGGCCCCAGCCACGCCTCCTGCTCCCCGGGGACCCACTGGCACTGCTCTGCCCACGCCTCCTGCTCCCTGGGGACCCACTGGCTCTGCTCCGCCCACGGTCACCTGCTCCCCGGGGACCCACTGGCTCTGCCCCGCCCAACCTGCTCCCCGGGGACCCACTGGCTCTGCTCCACCCACGCCTCCTGTTCCCCGGGACCCACTGGCTCTGCCCCGCCCACGGTCACCTGCTCCCGGGGGACCCACTGGCTCTGCCCCGCCCAACCTGCTCCCCGGGGACCCACTGGCTCTGCCCCGCCCACTCCTCCTGCTCCCGGGGGACCCACTGGCTCCACCCACGGTCACCAGCTCCCCGGGGACCCACTGGCACTGCTCCCCGGGGACCCACTGGCACTGCTCCCCGGGGACCCACTGGCACTGCTCTGCCCACGGTCACCTGCTCCCCAGGGACCCACTGGCTCTGCTCCGCCCACGGTCACCTGCTCCCCGGGGACCCACTGGCTCTGCTCCGCCCACACCTCCTGCTCCCGGGGGACCCACTGGCACTGCCCCGCCCACACCTCCTGCTCCCCGGGGACTCACTGGCTCTGCCCCGCCCACGCCTCCTGCTCCCCGGGGACTCACTGGCTCTGCTCCCCGGGGACCCACTGGCACTGCTCCGCCCACGCCTCCTGCTCCCCGGGGACCCACTGGCTCTACCCCGCCCACGGTCACCCAGACCCCTCACTGGCCCTGAACTGTGCACCTAAAACCAGCGCCGCCCAGCTGGCGGGGCTCAGGGGTGGAGCGCCAACCTAGGAACCAGGAGGCCAGGGTTCGATTCCCACTCAGGGCACAGGCCCACGGCTCAGCTCCATCCCCAGGGGGGCGAGCAGGAGGGGGCTGAGCAATGATTCTCTCTCCTCATGGGTGTTTCTCTCTCGCCCTCTCCCTTCCTCTCTGAAACCAATAAAATAGGTTTTTTAAATCCTCAACACAGCAGATTCACGTTCGCGCAGGAGAAAACAGAACGGCTCAGGCCCACGCCGAGGGACACGGAGCAGACGCTGTGACCCGAGAGCAGACGTCATGTCCAGGTGCCTGTCCCGCAGCCGCTGCAGGAGGCTCGCCCACCACAGGGGCCGAAGGCTCTCCTTCCAGCCCTCGGTGAAGCCGAGGGAATCCGGGGGGATGTGTGGGGGAATCTGGGGGGACGGGGCGGGGGATGGGGGGGCACATGAGCCCCACACAGAGGCCGGAGGAACTGGCATTCCCTGAGCTTCGGGGCCGGGGCCGGGGCCCTTTTGGGTGGCGACACCGCGTTCCAGGAATAAAACCGGTCGGAAGGTGATTTTATACTTAGAAAGCGGATTATAGCTCTGGCCACACGCAGGCCGAGGCAGGCACTTCCACCGTCTCCGGAAAACCACGGTTCCAGCCAAACCTGGTGTTTGTGGCGTTTGGTCACCTGGCCGACCCCTGGGGCACCGCCGGTCAGAGGGCAGCACCCGCCCGCCCGCAGGAGGGGTGCTCAGGGTGCCAGGCTGGGTCCTGGGGGGCTTCGGGCAGCAGGGGCACCCGTGCAGATTTGGGGTCCCCCTCTGCTCCACGGACAGGTGTGGGGTCCACCGAGCAGGACGGGGGCAGGGGTGGCCAGAAGGCCAGACAGTCCACGCCCACCCAGCCCCATGGCACGGTCTCATTCGGCCGGCTCTCGGGTGAACTAACGGGACCCAGAGGCTCAGGTGCCAGCAGAGGTAACAGGCCTGAGCCTCAGGCCCCCGCTCGGGGTACCTGACCCGCCGTCTGCCCCAGGACCGGGAACAGCTCTGGAGACCCCGATGCTGGGCCCCAGGCTCCCGGAAAGAAACAGCCAGGCCAGCATGGCTCTGTGGTTGAGCATTGACCTACGAACCAGGAGGTCAGGGTTCGATTCCCGATCAGGACACAGGCCCGGGGTTGCAAGCTCGATCCCCAGTGTGGAGCATGCAGGAGGCAGCCGATTGATGATTCATCATGGATGTTTCTCTCTCTCCCTCTCCCTTCCCCTCTGAAATCAATGAAAATAATTTTTTTATTTTTTTTTAAGAAAAAGCTGAAACTGGGTTGGCTCAGTGGATGGAGCGTCGGCCTGCAGACTGAAAGGTCAAGGGCATGTGCCTTGGTTGCAGGTACATCCCCAGTGGGGGGTGTGCAGGAGGCAGCTGATCGATGTTTATCTCTCATCGATGTTTCTAACTCTCTATCCCTCTTCCTCTCTGTAAAAAAACAATAAAATATATCTTAAAAAATAATAATAAAAAAGAAAGAAATGGCAGAGAACTCTGGGGATGGCAAGGGCGGAGGGGGAGCCGGACCTGAACCAGGAAGGAGCCCAAACACCCCCAGGGCCCACCCGCCCCTGCCCGGCGGCTCTGAGGCAGACCGTCCAGCGTCCACCCCGAGGACACTGCCCAGCCGGGCCCGGCCGCACCCGCGCCTGTCTTCCCCGTTTCCTGGGCTGGAGTTTTTTTTAACCCAGAAGCCAGCGGGAGCGGACTCTGTGGGCTGGCAGCCGGGCCTCCCGCCTCCAGCTTCCTCCGGGCCTCGGCTCCTGCCTCGGTGTCCCTCTTCGGGGGGGAGAGAAGCCGCCCCACCCAGACGGGAAGGCGGGCCGGCCCGGGGCCTGCACGCGGCAGGCAGAGACCCCGGCTCCCGGCTCCCGGCTCCCGGCTCCCGGCCTCGCCCTCAGACCACGCGCGTGACCTCGCCGAGATCCCCATGGTGACTCATTTCCTCTGCCACCTCCTCCGGAAGCGAGGGCCGCTGCCGGCTCCCAGAATGGGCTGCCGCGGACACAGATGGGGAGATAATGAGTCCCGTCCCCCAGAATAGCGCGGCTGAGCCGGAGCCGAGCCCGGTCGGGGGCGCCCCCGGCAGCAGGGGCACCGCGGGGACTGCGGTCTGCGAAGGAGAGGGGGGCGTGGAGGCCATGAGATGCCCCGTCCCCAGGGCTGGCATCTGAGGTCTGGGGGACCAGCTGGGACGCGGCGGCTGCAGGGCCTGGCAAACACACCCTGAATGTGCACCTGGTCACGGACCCCGGACAGCCGGGCAGCCGAGCCAACGTGGTCACGCTGACGGGCACACGCAGGGCGGCGGGACCACGGAGGCCTCGCCGAGGGCACCTGCGGTGTGGACACCCAGGTGGTGTGTGGGGGACGAGAGGGAAGCGGGAGCTGACGGCCGCTGAGGGGGGCTCCCAGCACAGGCCCCGGGCGAGGGGTGGCGGGAGCCGAGAGGCTGTGGCACCCAGCCCGTTGGAGGGCTGCTGCGGGCGCACTGTGGGTGCGGCAAGTGTGGGACGCCCAGAGCCATGGGGCAGGGGCCGGCCCAACCGCGATCGAAGGACAGCCGCTCCGTGAAAGTGTGGGTCCAAACCCCGAGACAGGTGGGAGCAAATCAACAGTAAGAGGCAGGAGAAACCACATTCTGGGAGACGCACTTCCCCGATCCGCCCAGAGGTACTTACGTCCGCTTCCCCCTGGTCAACGACGTAGAAGTTATCACCTTCGTCCCCTGAAACAGGAGACAGTGTCTCACGCCGAGGACACAGCTGGGCCTGTTCCTCTCGTAGCCTCTCTGTGCGCCGCCGCCTACACCGGCCGGGGAGTCCTGGGCCTCGTCCACTTTTAAGACGTGTTTAAACAGCCCTGGCCAGTGTGGCTCAGTGGCCAGAGTGTCAGTCCCAGGTTCGATTCCTTGGTTGCAGGCCCCTCCCCGGCCGGGCCCTGGTCGGGCCCGTGCAGGAGGCAGCCTATCGGCGTGATTCTCTCCTCACATCGATGTTTCTCTCTGCCGTCCCCTCTCCCTTCCACCCTCTGAGAGTCGATGGGAACACCCTCGGGGGAGGATCAACCGAAAAGCATTTCAATAAGAGTGTTCTGTGTGTCAGGGTACCACAGGCGCGTCGCTGTGCACGCTCCCTACGAACTCCCTCCCCCGGCCAGCCGACACCTCCCCGCCCGGTCCCCAGTGCCTGGGGGGCCCTCACCCCCCCAGCCGGCGTGGCCCCGGGCTCAGGTCCTGGACTCGACAGCAAGGCCACCGTTCCGGGAATTGCTGTTTCGTCGGTGACTTTCCCCGAAGACACAGACTCTGCACCGATGACCCTCAGGAGCCGTTCCCTGCCAGGGCACAGCCCCAGGCCACGGGCCCCGGGCCCAGTGTGGGGCGAGCAGGAGGCAGCCGACCCGTGACCCCTCTCATCCTCGGTGTTTCTCTCTCCCTCTCTGAAACCAGTAAGCACGTGTTTTAAAATAAACGGATCAACAAGGAACTCGGGCGGCGCCTACCTTGCTGGATGACGGTCTCGCCGGCGATGTGCGTAACGGGGAACATGGCGTCGAATATGTCGCTGGAAAGAGACACAGCGAGTGAGACCGCGCCCGCACGGGGCTCCGTCTTTCTTGTGGGAAGAAGGGCGTCCGGTCAGGAGAGGAGGCAGCCAGCCCCTCGTGCCGCCCGAGGCCCCGCTGGGTTCACGTCGCCTCTCCCCTCCCTCCCTCTTGGAGTCAATGGAGTGAAACACGTTAAGGAACCAGCAGACAGCGTGCCCGTGGACCCCGGGGCTATACGTTCCTCTGAGCATTTTCACCGAAGCAGCAGTTTAACCGAGCGGGTGGGACAAACACAGGCTGACACTGTGCGGACGAGACAGGCTTCCCTCACAGTGTCCGGCTCAACGGTGACCACCAACCAGGGTGTCCACCCAACAAACACGAAGAGCAACCTGGGCCAGCCTCCTCCACACACACCACACACACACACCACAGACACACACACACACACACACACACACACACAGACACACGCACTCACACACAGAGACACACACACACACACACACACACTCACACACACACACTCACACAGAGACACACACACTCACACACAGACACACACACACAGAGACACACACACTCAGACACAAACACACACACACAGATACACACACACACACACTCACACACAGAGACACACACACACACACAGACACACACACACAGACACACGCACTCACACACAGACACACACACACAGACACACACACACACAGACACACACACACAGACACATGCACTCACACACAGACACACACACACACAGACACACACACACACTCACACACACACACACTCTCACACACACAGAGACACACACACTCACATAGAGACACAGACACACACACACAGAGACACACACACTCACACACACACTCACACACACACACACAGAGACACACAACTCAGACACACACAGACACACTCACACACACAGAGATAGAGACACACACACACACCACACCACACACACACACAGACACACACACTCAAACACACACACACACACAGACACACAGACACACACTCACACCACACCACACACACACACACACACACAGAGACACACTCAAACACACACACACCACACACACACACACACTCACACACACACTAACACACACAGAGACACACACACACAGAGAGACACACAAACACAGAGACACACGCACACACAGAGACACACACACTCACACACACACACACACACAGAGACACACACACACACAGAGACACACACTCACACACACAGAGAGACACACACACTCACACACAGAGACACACACACAGTACATACACACAGAGACACAGATACACTCAAAAACACACACACACAGAGACACACACACTCACACATATACTCACACACACAGACACACACACACTCACACACACATAGAGACACACACAGTACATACACACAGAGACACATGCACATACAGTATACACACACGCGTGTGCGCGCGCGCCGCGGGCAGCGGACGGGAGGAAGGCCACCCTCCTGGGCAGCCGTCCGCCCTCACGCGCCTCCTTGGCCGGCCGGGCGGTCAGGAGGCCCCAGAGCGGCCGATGGCTTTCCCAGCCGCCGAGCAGGGACCGGGCCGGGCTGAGGAGCCGGCTCTGAGGAGCTGGAAAGCTCATCACGGCCTCGGCTCCGAGGGCTCGGGAGCCGCGTGTGGGTGGCCCCCACGCTCGGGGTCAGCGGAGGTCGGGGCCGGGGCGGGCCCCCCAGGCCTCTCGCCGAGACTCTTCCAGAGCCCGTTCCCGACGGCGGACGCTGCTGAGGTCCCACCGGGCCGTGATGCCAGGGCATTGCAGCAGCGAAGCCAGGGCTTTGCGGGCCGGAGGGCCCATCCGCTGCAGCCCCCTGCAGCTCAGGCGGGTCAGCACGGCCCCCACGGCGGGCTGGACACGGAGGCCGGCTCGTCCACTCCCTGGGCCCCGCTCCCTCACTACAACCCGGCTGGGCCACGTCCCCATCATCTCCCCCCCCCCGCCCCCGCCCTCACCTCCTCCAGGAGCCCGGATTCCTCCCCGTCACCACCCGTCAGGCCCCGTGGTCCCCACGCGCGTGTAGGAAGCCGGAGTCGGCCCCCTGCCCCCTCTGCCTGAGTCTGGGCCCCAGGGGGGCGCTCTGCAGGTGGGCAGTGAGAAGGCCGACAGAGGCGGCACCTGGGGAACCCGGCCGAGGGGTCGCTGAGCCGCCCATCCCGGGGCAGGCTGACCGGGCTCAGGCCCCGTGCGGCCAGCCCGGGGTCTGGGGTGGAGGACGGGAGATCCTGGAGCCGCTCCAGCCCTGGCTGCCAGCCTCCCCCCCTCCCCCCCGTCCCCCCGCCCGTCACCCTCCGCGATGGAATGTTTGTGGTAACGGCACCTTGCTTATTTTAAACGCCGCGGCCCACAGAGAGATCATGAGATCCGGCAGCTGGACTGCAGCCAGCGCTCCAGCCCGTGGGCGGGAGGAGGAGCCCCGGGCTCCTGGTCGCCTGTGCTCTTCCCGCGGCTACGGCTGCGGGGCCATTGGGGCTCCCAGAGCGCCCGAGGCCAGCACGGGCCCGGCCACGGGGCACGGGCCTGGCCACGGACACGGGCCTGGCCACGGACACGGGCTCAGCCACGGGGCACGGGCCTGGCCACGGGCCTGGCCACGGACACGGGCTCAGCCACGGGGCACGGGCCTGGCCACGGGGCACAGGCCTGGCCACGGACACGGGCCTGACCACGGACACGGGCCTGGCCACGGGGCACGGGCCTGGCCACGGACACGGGCCTGGCCACAGGGCACGGGCCTGGCCACGGACACGGGCCTGGCCACGGGGCACAGGCCCGGCCACGGGCTCAGCCACGGGGCACGGGCCTGGCCACGGACATGGGCCTGGCCACGGGGCACGGGCCTGGCCACGGACACGGGCCTGGCCACGGGCCCCGCCACGGGGCACGGGCCTGGCCACGGACATGGGCCTGGCCACGGGGCACGGGCCTGGCCACGGATACGGGCCTGGCCACGGACACGGGCTCAGCCACGGGGCACGGGCCTGGCCACGGACATGGGCCCGGCCACGGACACAGGCCCAGCCACGGACACAGGCTCGGCCACGGGGCAAGGGCCTGGCCACGGGGCACGGGCCTGGCCATGGGGCACGGGCCTGGCCACGGACACTGGCCTGGCCACGGACACGGCCACGGGTACGGCCACGGGCATGGCCACGGGGCACGGGCCTGACCATGGGGCACGGGCCTGGCCACGGGGCACGGGCCTGGCCACGGACACAGGCCTGGCCACGGGGCACGGGCCTGGCCACGGACACGGCCACGGGCCTGGCCACGGGGCACGGGCCTGGCCACGGACACGGGCCCAGCCACGGGGCACGGGCCTGACCATGTGGCATGGGCCTGGCCACGGGGCGGGGGCCTGGCCAGGGGTGTGCAGGTCATGTGTGCAGGACCGGCTCACGGTGGGGGCAGGGGACAAGGTGTGAGAGCCCCAGGGGCGAGAGCCGCTCAGTCAGCTTCTGGGGGGCCAGTCGGTGACCTCCCTGTGGAGCCGAGAAAGCAGAGCGGGTGGGGCTGGCAGGGACGTGGAGGTTGGCAGGCGTGTGGTGTGGGGACCACCAGGGGGGGCTCTACAGGTCGCCGGCCGGGGGGGCGCCCACAGGGAGGGGGCTCGGTGTTCCTGGTCTTGTTATTGACCCGCTGGCCTTTGTCCCGAGAGGAAAGGCTGCTCCTCGGCCCTCACTACCACCTCTTCCTGCTGAAGGCGCGGGACAGGCCCCAGGCCACGCACACAGGCCACGCACACAGGCCACACGGACCATGGCCACGCACCACAGCCACACTCTGTGCAGGAGGCGCCCAAGGGGCAGGGACCAGGCCGACAGCCACCCAACAGGCCCCATCCCAGGGCCGGGCCACGGAGGCGGTGTGAGGACGGGCCATGTGTGGATGTCAGGGTGGGGCACGCCTGAGCCCGACCCCCACCATTTATTCCCGCCAGGCCCACGCCCAGCCACACAGGCCGCCCCCAGGACCCGGATCACAGGCCTGGAGCCCAAGGCTTAGAGTTTCCCGCCCCAAGGACCCAGGGCCTCGATCCTGGAACAGCTCCCAGGACCCCCTCCCCCGTGATGGAAGCCGGCAGGGGGACGTTCGGGAGCTCGGCTCAGGGAGGAGGAGGCTCGGGGAGGAGGAGGCTCAGGGAGGAGGGAGGATCAGGGAGGAGCTCGGCTCAGGGAGGAGGAGGATCAGGGAGGAGGAGGCTCAGGGAGGAGGATCAGGGAGGAGGAGGCTCGGGGAGGAGGGAGGATCAGGGAGGAGGGAGGATCAGGGAGGAGGTGGCTCAGGGAGGAGGAGGATCAGGGAGGAGGAGGCTCGGGGAGGAGGGAGGATCAGGGAGGAGGGAGGATCAGGGAGGAGGCGGCTCAGGGAGGAGGGAGGATCAGGGAGGAGGAGGCTCAGGGAGGAGGGAGGCTCAGGGAGGAGGAGGCTCGGGGAGGAGGGAGGATCAGGGAGGAGGGAGGATCAGGGAGGAGGCGGCTCAGGGAGGAGGGAGGATCAGGGAGGAGGAGGCTCAGGGAGGAGGGAGGCTCAGGGAGGAGGAGGCTCGGGGAGGAGGGAGGATCAGGGAGGAGGGGGGATCAGGGAGGAGGAGGCTCAGGGAGGAGGAGGATCAGGGAGGAGGGTGGCTCAGGGAGGAGGAGGCTCAGGGAGGAAGAGGAGGGTGGCTCAGGGAGGAGGTGGCTCAGGGAGGAGGAGGATCAGGGAGGAGGAGGCTCAGGGAGGAGGAGGCTCAGGGAGGAGGGCGGCTCAGGGAGGAGGAGGCTCGGGGAGAAGGGGAGGATCAGGGAGGAGGGAGGATCAGGGAGGAGGAGGCTCAGGGAGGAGGAGGAGGGTGGCTCAGGGAGGAGGAGGCTCGGGGAGGAGGAGGCTCAGGGAGGAGGGAGGAGGAGGCTCGGGGAGGAGGAGGCTCGGGGAGGAGGGAGGAGGAGGCTCGGGGAGGAGGAGGCTCGGGGAGGAG